GCAGCTTTCTTCCACCAAGCCCTTCAACATGATGTATCTGCAACAGAACTAGACAATCATGGACTGAAACCTCTGAAAACATGAGCCAAAATAAAACTTTGCTTTCTCAAGGTGTGTCTAAGAGAATTTTTTCCAGTAATAAAAAGCTAATAAAATAATCTATTAATAAAATGAAATGCTACCAAAGTTACTTGCTATCATGTCTTTGTTCCTATCTTACCTTTTATACCTAATAGTACTTGTTTTATGAAGCTGAGTGCTCTGAAGTTCAGAGCATATAGGTCTATAATTGCTGTATCTTCCTCATTTATTACTCTCTTGATCAATTTGTAGTGACTTTCTTTAAATCTTCCCACTGATTTTGTCTTAAATTCAAGTATGTTGGAAATGAGTATAACTGCTTCAGTTTGCTTTAGGATAGATCTACTTGGAATATTTTTCTATCCTTTTGTTCACTCTGTGTATATATTTGAAGATAACATGAGTCTCTTGTATGAAGAATATTGTTGGGGCTTGTTTGTAAATCCATTCACTAATCTGTGTTTTTTAATGGAAGCATTATGATCATTTATCTTTAGAGTTATTAAGAAAGGGTATATGCTTGTTCTTGTCATTGTGTTAATTTTCTTCTGGTTGTTTATAATATACTGGGTCCAGGTGTTTCTCTCTTATTCATATTAGAAGTCTTTTTTTCCTATTTCTTATTTGTGTGTCTGTTCTATAGGTTTTATTTAATTACATGTTTCCATGGTTATGTTATCTTTCTTCCTCTTCTGAGTTGTGGATTTTCCATAAGTATTTTCTATAATTTTGCTCTAGTGGTCATGAATTCCTTTAGTTTATGCTTATCTTGGATGATCATTATTTTTTCTTCATTTCTGATGTATAAAATTGCTGGATATAGTACTCTTGATTGGCAGATAGTTTTTTCTAATAACTTGCAATACATTATTCCATGCTGTCCTGCCCAATAGAATTTCTGCTGAAAAATCTGTTGTTAGTCTAATGGAATTGCTTTTAAATGTAACTTGGTGCTTCTGTCTTACAGCTTTTAATATTTTTTTGTTCTGAATTTCGGACATTTAACTATAATATATTATGAATTAGTTATCTTTTAGTATATGCTTTCAGTGCATAATGGTTATATTTATCTTATGGAGTTAGTACATGTACATAATACATCTTAATTCTTTTTACTTTCCCTTCTTTCCTCCTCTCCCCATCTCTTGGAGTAGTTCTTCTCTGATCAAGTCAGTGAGGGATTCTAAATTTCTCCTATATCTGGATGTTCATTTTTTTCCCATGATTTCATAGATAGTCTGCTATTATTTCACCAAACACGATTTCTATGCCAATAGCCTATAGCTCTTTTCCTTCCAGTATGCTTATCGTATGGCTGATAATCTTTAAATGGTGTGCCAGAAATCTTGTATGTTCTCTTCATTCTTTCCTTTTTACTTCATTGCTTTCTGAGTGTGACAATTTGATAGAATATTTGATAAGATCATCTAATTCCAATATTCTTTCAATCTAGTCTGTTTTGGGCTTTCAACTGAGGCTTTTGTCTCACTTATTGCACTTTTCATCTCCACTATATTTATTTGGTACTTTTTAAAAATCTCCACCTCTTAATTGAATTATTCATTTATATCCTACATTCTCTTACTCAATTTAACTGTATATTTATATTGTTTGGGTTTCACTGAGCATTTCAGAATCCACTCTTTTAAACTTTTTGGCATCTCATCCAATTCAATGTCCTTAAAATCTGTTACTGAAGAATTATAAACCTTAGGAGGTGACATATTACCTTATTTTGCATATTTCTTAGTTTCTATGTTGAGACTTTCACATTTGTTGAGATCAATATCTCTTCCACATTAATGTCATGTCCTTTAACATATGTGGCAGCTTTTCACATGTAGCTTTCTTTTGTGAATGACATTCGGTTGTGAACAGATGACTCTGAGGAATCCAGCATCTTTAGGGTGGCGTGTCAACCACATCCTGCTGACCATGACACTTTCCACTCAACACAGCAGAACATCACTTTGTCTGATTCTCTGTGATGGTGATTATTTTGAGGTGAGAGCAGTTTTAAAGGGAACACTCAACTTTCCTGTGGCTCACCCTTCAATCTCTAGTCTTTATCACAAATACTTATGAAGATTAGTATGCACAGGAGCAGTAACATAATTAGCTTAAATTTGGGAACTTAAGTCATCAGGAACTTAATTTGGAAAATTAAGAATGCATAACATGTTTGATTCCACATAATAACATATACCAAAATAGAATATTATTAATTCAAATTTTTAAAAAAAGTTTAATTGATAAAATTGACAGAAATTAAGACAGAGTCCTCATCCAGTTGCAGTCCTGCCATGAGCTACCTGACCTCCGATAATGGAGAAATTGTCCCTGAAGGTAAGTGGCTGGCCTGGGACTCTTACTTCAGATGACACACACTGATAGGTATTAGATGTTAAGTACTCCTCCTGGGAGTGGGTACAGTGCTCTATATTCCGGTAATGAATGCCCCTTCCCACTCTAGTCTTACACTGGCCACATTGGAAAATACTCTCAGCTGACATAGATCGAAATCAGCCTCTAGAAATTTATTGAGTTTCCATTGACAAGTTCTCCATAGCTTCACAGAAAAGTAAGATGTCTCTATAAGTTATCTTAGGTATTAGAATACTTCTAAGACCATGTGCACTGTTACTATAAATCATGAATAAGCTCTCTGGGCAAATCTGGACCAGTAGCCTTCCCATATACAAAGACATTTATTATATGAACCCCAGTAAGTTGATCAATCAGTATTCTAATGTCCCTTCCTCTGGCTCAGCTTTCTCCCTTCACTTTCACTCTCATCTTCAATCATCCATTTTTGCACCAATGTAGTCCTCCCCTGAAACCTTGTGCACATTAGGCAGGACTTTTTATTCCAGCCTTCAGATTTATTAGCTGTGAAAATCAGTTTCTCTGTATCTTGGTTTTCTCATGTACAAAGAAGACCAAAACTAACACTGATATTTGTGGGATTATGGTGAAGATGAAATGAGTTCATGTGAGTATGGTGCTCAGAAATAATACCTGCCATGTGGTAATCCCTAAAAAAGTGTGTTCTCTTGTTTTATGAACTTTTATTTGGTACAGTTTTACTATGTTCAATATTAACATCATAGACAAATAATAATATGTTGGACTCCTTCAGGTCAGGGGCCTCATTTAATTTATAGAATTAGCATGAAAATATAATTTATTGTAAAACAGGTATTTAATAAATACCAGCTAAATTACTTCAAGATGTCTCACGAGAAGAGACATTTGCATTGCTTTTACTCTAACATTTGACAAGTAGTAAAGACTACAAATGCTATAAATATTTTGAACTAAAGACAGAAAAACGGGTAAAGAGTACATTTAAAAAAATTATCAATGTACCAGTTCCAAGGATTCAAATATTTTTGAAAGAAGACTTTGTTATTCAGGCTTTACATCCAGGAGTGCTTAGGAAGGAGAACAAAGAGAATGTGGGCATGAATTTAGCTGTGTTATATCACAGTGAATCAGATTTTCTAGATGGTGTTTATCAGTAGAATGAGTCATATTTTGTTCAAAGGTTCAAAGGTGCAAAAGTAATGTGTGCCTTAGGCAGTTAATACAATGACGGATATAGCAAAATGGGGATGTTCTCTACCCTCTGAGATATTGCTGAATCATCCAATTAGTGGCTCGCATGCCTTCTGTGTAACCATTTCTAAAGTAAAATAGATACATTTACTGCACATAAAAATAAAGAGGTTAATCATAAAGGTTTACAGTTTTTTTCCCAGCTCTAGAGATGGAGCCCAGAGGCCAGGACGTAGAAACACAAACTCTACCATTGAGCTACAAACCAGGTCATAGTTTCATTTATTTTTTTAATTATAAAAATGGAATTGCTTGGGAGTTAATGATTCTTGAAGCTTAACAAATATAGAGGGCCCATATGAATCTCAGAGAGCTAAAAGTGAGTTTCAGGTATTGAAGAAAAAAGGGGGGGCAAAACTTTTAAATTTATGTGTAAAAAGACATATATTTCATAAATTTAGAACAAGAAGGTGCCATAAAGATTATATGGTCCAGAGACTTCTGAACTTTTTTAATGGATGTTTTCCAAGATAATGTGTAAGCTAGAAAAAAGAGAGGTTCTTATGAAGTGTACTTAACATAGAAGACTTGGAAAAAATTCTCTGGAGTCCTGCACCCCTTGAATGCTTGGAAAGCTAATGACTGAATCCAACAATCTTACTAAATAAAACCATTGTTCAAGCACACTGATTGTCACATTATTTGCTAGTAGGGAGATGAGAAAGGGCCCTTCATTTCCTTAGGATTGAGGCTAATCCCTTTTGCCTAGGAAACTTCAAGGAGAGAAATCAGACATGAAGCTAGGGATAAGATAGAGGAAAACACCCCTGATTCATAATTATTCCCTGTCCATGCAGATGGGGAATAAAATGCTTTGTCTTTAAACCAACATTTAATTTGTTAATATTAAAAGAAAGATGACTCTGTTACTCTTCAAATAAGTTATTTAAACTGTTTTTCCGGACCTTGCTTATCTCACACATGGTTTGGAGACAATGAATCTAGAAAAGTATGGAGAATCATGGGATAGGAAAGACCTTCTTTCCAGTGTCAGAAGTTTCTTCACAAAAGAAAGGCAAAATAACAATAGAGAATATGCTACTTTGAAAGGGGATTGGCAGAACCTAGATAATATAAACTGCACATTTAGATAATGTATTATTATTATCATCATTTTTTTGGTATGGAAATGTTTGTTTTATCTGAAGCTATTCATAGCCTCAAAATACCATGTTTGCTTGTTTTTTAACAATGGTGCACAACATTCAACATGTGCTGATAGCTCCTTGTTAGTGTTACATGTGAGGACTCTGGAATGAAATTTCATATCCCATGGTAGGAAGAATCCCAGAGTCATGCATTCATCCATCTGCTTCTCCTGTCCTGTATAATAGTTTTCTCAAGGCTGTCTTTACTTCTTTATTCCTCAAGGTGTAGATCAAAGGGTTCAGCATTGGTCCTACCAGATTCATCAGAATTTGAATGATAGTTCCCAGCATGGGGTTGGGTGTGGGCTGCAGGTAGACAGTGATGATGGGCCCATAGGCACAGAGGATGGCTATGAGATGGGCACTGCATGTAGAGAAGGCACGGCGACGGCCCTCTGTTGTATGAATGCTCAAAATGGAGACTGTGATTCGTGTGTAAGATACAAGGATTAGGAGAAAGCAGACAAGGGATACTATGCCAACATTTGTGAAACTCACCTTCTGTGCCAAGGATGTATCAGAACAGGCCAAGGGCAAGAGTGCAGGGATATCACAGAAGAAGTGACTTACTTCATTGGAACCACAGTATGGCAAAGTGAAGGTGAGGGAGGTCAAGACACTGGAGTGGATGCACCCCAAAAGCCATATGCCCACAGCCAGGGCCAAGCAGATCCTGGAATTCATGATGATCGTGTACCGCAAAGGGTAACAGATAGCAACAAAGCGGTCATAGGCCATCACAGTATACAAGAAGCACTCGATGCTCCCAAGGAAATGGAAGAAGAAGAGCTGGGTGACACAGTTTTGGTAGGAGATGAGCCGGCTCAGACCTACAAGGTAGAGCAGCATTTTGGGACAGGTCACAGTGGAGAAACTCATGTCAAACACAGCCAAGTTCCCCAGGAAGAAATACATGGGTGTGTGAAGGCGAGTAGAAGCAATAACAGCTACCAGGATAGACAAATTTCCCAAAATGGTGCAGGCATAGAAAGGCAAGAATAAGATGAAAAGCATTGTCTCCAGCCCCTGTGTGTGTGGGATTCCCAGAAGAATGAATTCAGTTACAACTGAGCAGTTCTCCACATCCATGAGAGGCAGTCTTTGAAAGAAGAGAAAGCAGAAGTCATGGGAGAATTCCCTGGCTTACTTCGGATGAGGGAACATACTTGGAAAATGAAATATAAGTGAGCATCTCTTGGTTCTAAATTATAGAAAGGCTGATCCAAGTTATAGGACGTTTAATTGGAATGGACCTGTCATGCACAACTTGATAGTTACTTCAGCAATAGTTTTGTTGTAGTGATTGCATTTATAGATATCTCTTATTGTAAAATATTTTTTAAAATACTATATCAAGGATTTTTAAAGGGTAGAACATGATTCAGAGAAATATATGCTTTTTCTTTCACACGGTGGAGGAATATCAGGCCTTAGAATCATTTAAGGGCTTTTTTTCATATTTCTGGGAATAAGAATGACAGCTTGAGAATCACTGTATTTGTGAAACACCACTAATGATACTAGATTTTATTTTCAGTGTTTTAAAGTAAGTCATAGGGAAAGTTAAACAATCACTGTGTTACAGTTCAAACCATTTCTATATGAAGTACGTTCACTTAATTCTTGCAACAGCAGTTTGTGGTATATCTAGAGAAAAGAAAATAAAGGTTAAGCAACTCTCTTAAATTAAGACAGTGAAGAGCTCAATTAGGTATCCAATCTTTATTTAAGACATTAGCCTTTCCACACTACCATATCTGGGATAGATTATTGGTATTGGTGACATTGTTAAACATTGTTAACCATGTTTTTCCTTCAAAATTTAAAATGGTGCTGTTCCTCTTTAGTAAGTGATGGAAAATCAGGCTGTCTTTGCATCTGTGAAGCACACACACACACACACACACACACACACACACACACTGACAAATACAAAATCTAGGAGAGTAAATATATTTTAGTGTTTATTGACTCTACCTCTAGAGCAAAGATAGTGTCTGGCACAGGATAGGTAGATTCTCAATAAATGATAAAAGAAAGGAACAAGTTAGTCAATGGCTGGAAAGAATTTGATACCACTTACTTGTCTTGTACAAGGACTATGTGTTACTGTCAGTAGCAATATCTCCCATATAACCTTGTAAAGTACCTTAATCACCTACCTTTGCTCTTTTGCTCTGTTCCACTGAATACTTAGAATTTCATTTTTATTTTTATAGTACTTGCATGATCAGACTCAAAACAAGAGTTACACTTAGTCTATACTTCTCACAAAAAGCTTTGGTGTTTAGACCTCACAGAAAGTATTGAACTGATGATATCCAGAGGTAGGCTTCTTTAAAGTTTCCATTTTGTAAATATTTCTGAGTGAAGTCCATATTCCTAATTATACAGAAAAATTCAAGAATAGCCCAATGTTTCTGTTCATCCTGAACTATAAGATTTGTAAATTAAGGAATCTAAATGCTCTCTACCATTGGATATATGAGTCATAAAGGAAGAGTTAAAAAAGCAATGAAGATGGCATGTATGCAACTTACAGGGAAGAAGTTTGATTGTTTTATCATCTGTCCATCTGTCTTTTTAGGATAATCGTCCAAATTTGCCCTGGAGAGCATATTTTAAACCTGAGTCGGGACCACCTCTCATGATACTGAATGTTTTTTCTTCTTAGCTAAATAAACTCATATAAGTGACATCAAGTTGAATGTGTCTCTCTCTTCTTCATAGATGTTTTCCAAGACACTAATAGATCTGTTGTTTCCTTATATGCAAAATTTAAATGTCCCCAGAGCCCTTGAGCTTGCAAGCCTGAGTGGGTCCTATTCAAGCAGAGCAAAGGGAGTAATTAGGCATTAGTAAGTGATGGAGCCAAGAGAGAACACAGTAATCCTCTCCTTTGTGGCATTACTGTCTATAAACATGATGGACTCATTCTATATTTTCTGTTTGGGTGACTCACCCAAGAGAACAAGTGAGGGGTATAAGCCAATTTTAGGAAATATGTGGAAACCATTTGCTCAGTGTAAGGATATATTATTGCAATGAAAAAATACATTAGTCTTTTTATACCTAATTTCAAATACATTAATCTCATTTTCTCCATAGCTTCTGCTGTGGAATGAATTTTCTCTCCCACAAATTCATATGTTGAAATCCTAACACCCTGTCCACCATTAGGGTTTGTTAAAGCAAGTGACTTTAAAGAGGTTATTAAAGTTAAAGGAGCTGGGAAAGATAGAGCTCCTATCCCCTTCTATACAAGAAAAATAGACACCAGACAGAACACTTCTTCCTCCCTCCCCTTTCTCTTTTCCCCACCCCCTTCTTCCTCTTCCTCTTTCCCTTTTTTCTCATGTTTTCCTTCCTTCCCTCCTCCTCCCTTCCTAGTTCCTCTTCCAATTTGAACATTTTCTTCCTATTTCACAATATCAGTTATGTATTTTGGTGCTTATTTACACTTTTGATTTCTCACACCAGAGAAATCATGTAATATTTAAACATGTGTGTCTGACTTATTTCATTTAGGAGTATGGTCTCGAGGTCCATACATTTAGTTATAAATGTCTAAAACTCATTCTTCTTTGTGGCAGAGTAGTACTCCATTGTATTAAAAATCCACATATTCTTTATCCACTTGTCAGTTGATGGCCATTTGGCATGCTTCCAAGATTTAGTTATTACAAATTTTGTTGCTATAAACATGGATGTGCATATATCTCTGTGGTATAATGCTTTTCATTCTTTCAGGAAGATACCAAGAAGAGGAATAGGTGGGCCCAATGGAATCTCTAGTTTTAGTTTTTTGAGGAATCTCCACACTAATTTCCACAGTGGTTGCACCAGTCTACACTCCCACCAACAGTGAAGAAGGGTTCCTTTTTACCCACAGCCCTGTCAGCATTTGAAAGATAGCCTCTTTAATAAATGTCAGTGGAAATACTGGCTTTCCACATGCTGAACACTAAAATTAGACCCATGTCATTTACCATATACTACACTAATATGAAAATGGATCAGACATTTATATATTGAAAGAGAAACACTAAATCTGCTGGAAAAGAGAATAGGTAGAACTCTTGAAGACATAGGTATAGGCAAAGACTTTATGAACAAAACCCTGATAGCACAGGAAGTATTACAGAGAATCAACAGCTGCGATATCATCTTATTAAAAAGCTTTTACACAGCAAAGGAAATCACCAATAGAAATGATGAGACAACGCACAGAGTGGGAAAAATTTTTGCCAGCTGCTCCACAAAGGACTAATATCTAGAATATATAAAGCACTTATTAAAATCTGGGGTAGATTTCTTTTTTTCTTGTACAGAGGATCAAACTGGGCACCTTGTGCTTGCAAGCCAGACAGCAGAACCACTGAGCTAAATACCCGGCAAACATTTTTTTTTTTGGTTCCAGGATCGAATTCAGGACCTTGAGCTTGCAAGGTAGGCAGTGGAACCACTGAGCTAAATCCCCAGTTAGATTTCTTGATAATAGCAATTCTTTCTGGAATGAAATGTAATCTCAAGTTTATTTTAATTTGCATCTCTCAAATGACTAGTGATGTCAAAATTTTTTTCATATATTTATTTGCCACTCGTACTTCTTCATTTGAGAAGTGTCTGTTCATTTCAGATGCCCATTTTTGGATTGGGTCTTTAAATTTAGGGGGTCTGATTTTTTGAGTTTCTTAGTGGACTGAGAGTTTTTCTATATCTCAGAGTCGGTTTTCTATTGTATTCATTTGCAAATATAGTTTCTATTACTAGGCTTCTCAACAGTTTTGTCATTTGGCAAAGTTGACTTCCCTATGAAGGAATTATTTTAAACAGGACCTTTCCTGAATTATACATCAGGAAATACATGTTGTAAAGTATTAATCAAAAAAAGTAAAAAATTGTACACCCATTCACAAAAGAAGTTTCCTGAATCTGTCCTTTGTCTTCTATAAAAGAAAGAAGTCAAGAACTTTTCCGTTGGAATTTCAGATATTTCTAAACTAGGAATCATTGGAGTAAATAAAAAGTTCTAGAACAATAGAATTAGCATAAGTTTATATGAAGCACTTCTAAGTAATAGATGTGTTTATTAATATTTCATTAATATATTTTAAACATTTAAAAATATTTTATAACAAAATAATTTATTAAATTGGCTGAAATAAATTTAAAATTATATTATTAAATTCATTTTCAATACTACAATATAAGTAACATAAAAGATACATATTTATTGCCAATTAATATAAAAGTAGTCTCATTCATTATAGAAAACATACTTTATTAATATATAACATTTAAATGTTGAATTTTAATAATGTCATATATGGGTTAGTCACCAAATATACATTAAAAGACAGATTAAAATTTCATTACATGTTAACATATGAAATGGACAAAAATCAGTTTTCAGAGCTCATTGTATTTACAATTTAACACCTCAGTTCAAAAACTGTTAAGTACAAGACTCAGACTTCTACTTGTAAACACTTCTTAAGTTTTGTAGTAATTAAATATGTTGTCTATATCATCAGAAAAAGAAATAAAATCTGGGATAAAATTGTCATTAGATGTCTTATCATTACTTTGAGATACCAGAATTTGATTTGAATACAAATTCTTAAGTTGGTTATGAGCTGACATATTATTAATGGCAGTCTACTTTCTTTATTGATTTTAATCTCAATACCATTTTTCTTCTTTAGTCAAATATGGGTATAAATTATATATGTGATTAAGAATACAAACAAAACTGTAATGGTTAATGTAAGCAGTTACAATATTTTTGCATATTGTCACCAAGTTAGTGACAAAAATAGGAGCATACATTCCTAGATACTTAAATACACTTGTTATTCTAACCACACACACAGATGCTGTCAGGAAGACTTATTTAGAGTAAAATATATCACAATATTTTCCTTCATATGTACTTGCTTTTAAATCATATTGCAAAAGTGCTGCATTGCTATTTTTGCTAATATCTGTAGTGTCCAGATATATTTCTTTTAATCTCAGGCTGTTTTTAAACCCCATTTGAAAATGCTGCTTTACACAGCTCAGAACATCCTGGGTGGCAGTCTGCT